GGCTGGGCGCAGTGGCTCACGCCTGTAATCCCAGCACTTTGGGAGGCCGAGGCGGGTGGATCACGAGGTCAAGAGATCAAGACCATCCTGGTCAACACGGTGAAACCCCGTCTCTACTAAAAATACAAAAAATTAGCTGGGCATGGTGGCGCGTGCCTGTAATCCCAGCTACTCAGGTGGCTGAGGCAGGAGAATTGCCTGAACCCAGGAGGCGGAGGTTGCGGTGAGCCAAGATCGCGCCATTGCACTCCAGCCTGGATAACAAGAGCGAAACTCCATCTCAAAAAAAAACAAAACAAAATGCTTATTTAAACCAGATAGTCTTTATTATACAGAAATTTCTGAAGCACTAAAAAAGGTACATGTTTGTGTTTATGCCCTTAATTATATATGTTATTTATTTTTTGTTTTAGATTTTTTTTTTTTTTTTTTTTTTGAGATGGCATCTTACTCTTGCTGCCCAGGCTGAAGTGCAATGGAGTGATCTCGGCTCACCACAACCTCCGCCTTTTGGGTTCAAGCAATTCTCCTGTCTCAGCCTCCTGAGTAGCTGGGATTAGAGGCATGCGCCACCACGCCTGGCTAATTTTGTATTTTTAGTAGAGATGGGGTTTCTCCATGTTGATCAGGCTGGTCTCCTGACCTCAGGTGATCCACCTACCTCGGCCTCCCAAAGTTCTGGGATTACAGGCATGAGCCACCTTACTTGGTCTATTATATGTGTTATTATCTAGAAAATTATTATATATACACTGGTGTTGGCCTCTTATGCCACTCTGTTTTCTCAGGGTTAGAGAACACATTAGGAAACATGTCTGTGTACAAATTTATTTTACTGGATAATTTCTGTCACTCCTATAAGTCAGAACCTGTTCTCATTATTCTCTCATTTTACCTTGATTCAAATTATAAATTCTGTTGGCATTTGTTTTTCACAGTATATAACACATATATAAACCTGGTATATATGTTTGTGTGCGTGTGTTTTTCAGGGACTGTTGACATTCAGGGATGTGGCCATAGAATTTTCTCTGGAGGAGTGGCAATGCCTGGACACAGCTCAGCGGAATTTATATAAAAATGTGATTTTAGAAAACTACAGAAACCTGGTCTTCCTGGGTAAGGATAATTTCAACACACAGTTTCTAATATACCCTAAAGGTTTTATTTCTCTTATTTGTAAAATGTATTTTGGTAATGTATGCTTTGCATAAATGAGTTTCAGATCCCCGTTTTTGAGAAACTCTTAAGGATTTATTTCTATAAATAGAAAAAAATTTCTTTAATATGTTTCATCTTGACCTGAACTTACCACATTCCTGACCTGATCTCTGTCATTCACTCTAGATTAGTGGTAATTTGAGAAATTTAGTGACGCATTGTTGTCCACACCTTAAAATCTAATTGCCAACACCATGTTTTGACTCAATATTACTGGGTAATGAAATTAAGAACTTACAAATTTAGAATATTTTTCTAAATATTTAAAAATTTGTGTTATACGTTAGACTATTATATTATATCCTCTTTACTGAGCACATTACTAGCTTGGTCATTGGAGAATATGAGCAAGATTCATCTTATTTATTTTTTAATCAAACAGGTATCGCTGTCTCTAAACCAGACCTGATCACCTGTCTGGAGCAAGAAAAGGAGCCTTTGATTATGAAGAAAGATGAGATGGCAGATGAACCCCCAGGTAAGTGAGAGTAAAAGTGAATACAACAGATGACACAGATGAGGGGTCCAAAGGTCAAAGAGAAAGCCAGTTCTTAAAATAGCAATTTGGGAATCTGTGTTTTAAAGGAAACAGTTTCTGGAAAACCTGAGGTTTTTTATTTGTTCTCACATGTGAGCATTTTCTGTCATATGCTTTTAAATTCTCTAAGGTTTCTGTTTACTTTTTTGGTGATCTTCCTTCAAGTTTTCAGTGATAACCAATGTCCTCTTCATGGCATGTAAGAGACTATGCAATCTGAATGCTTATTCAGTTTTTTTGGAGACACACAAATATCTGCATAATTTTGAGCAACTTGATGGTAAATAGTTTTATTTTAGTTATTTTTTTGCATCATGTCTGAAACATATGAAAAGTGGTTTCTTTTCCTTTTTTTTTTTTTTTTTTCTTTTTTTGAGACAGAGCATCACTCTGTTGCCCAGGCTAAAGCGCAGTGGCACAGTCTCGGCTCACTACAACTCTCCCTCCTGGGTTTAAGCGTTTTTCCTGCCTCAGCGTCCCGAGTAGCTGGGATTACAGGTGTGTGCCACTACACCAGGCTAATTTTGTATTTTTAGTAGAGATGGAGTTTCACCATGTTGGCCAGGCTGGTCTTGAACTCCTGCCCTCAAGTGATTTGTCTGCCTCAGCTTCCCAAAGTGCTGAGATTACACGTGTGAGCCACTGTGCCCAGCCTTTTTTTTTTTTTTTCTGCACATTTTATCTTGTTTGTATTTCTATAATCTTCAAATGTAGTCTTGAAATTTTAAAGTATGCTATTTTTCTGCTTTTTTTTCTCATGCTTGCTTTGACTGTTTAAAGTATATCATAGTTACATGTAAATTTTAGAATTATGTTTTTTATTACTATGAAAAACAAATGCCACTGGAATTTTCATAGGGAGTTTATTGAATCTGTAGGTTACTTAGGATAACATGGCACTTTAATAATATTTATTCTTTCAATTTATAGACATAAAATATCTTCAAATTTATTTATGTCTTTTCTGATTTCTTTCATTTATATATTTCTCATTGTAAAAATTTTGTCCCTGCCGGGTGCGGTGGCTCAAGCCTGTAATCCCAGCACTTTGGGAGGCCGAGGCGGGTGGATCACGAGGTCAAGAGATCGAGACCATCCTGTTGATCGAGATCAACACGGTGAAACCCCGTCTCTACTAAAAATACAAAAAATTAGCTGGGCATGGTGGTGCGTGCCTGTAATCCCAGCTACTCAGGAGGCTGAGGCAGGAGAATTGCTTGAACCCAGGAGGCGGAGGTTGCGGTGAGCCGAGATTGCGCCATTGCACTCCAGCCTGGGTAACAAGAGCGAAACTCCGTCCCCCCCCCAAAAAAAAAAAAAAAAAAAAAAAATTTTTGTCCCTCCTTGGTTAAATTTGTTCTCAGAAATTTATTATTTTAATGCTATTGTAAATAAGATTTTTTTCTTCTACTTTATCAGAGAGTTTAAGTTTATGGAACCTTAACTTGTATGTTAATTTTATATTTTTCTAATTTACTGAGTATATTTAGTAGTTTAAACAAGTTTTAATTGTACTGTTTATGTTTATATATGTGATTATGAGCTATAGCCAGCAACTTTTAACTTACTTGTCTTTAATATCAATTGCTGTTTTTCATTTTTTGACTAATCTGCTACATACTTTCAGTGTTACGTTAAACTAGCAGCATCGACAATGTGTACAATATAGTTTTGCATTGGCATCTGTGTATGGAAGGAGAAAACACCTCAAGTTTGTTGTTGTTGCTGATTTTGGTGGTTTTTTTTTGAGGTGAAGTCTCACTCTGTCACCCAGGCTGGAGTGCAGTGGCATGATCTCGGCTCACTGCAACCTATGCCTCCCAGGTTCAAGCTATTCTCTTGCCTCAGTCTCCTGTGTAGCTGGGATTACAGGCGCAGGCCACCACACCTGGCTTATTTTTTGTATTTTTAGTAGATATGGGGTTTCACTGTGTTAGCAAGGATGGTCTTGATCTCCTGACCTCGTGATCCGCCTGCCTGGGCCTCCCAAAGCACTAGGATTATAGGTGTGAGCCACCACACCCATCTCAAGTTTTTATAAACTGGTTTCAGAAGGTAAAGATCTTTTTTTGTTTGACCCTAAGGGTGATGGGTTGCTCTCTGGGTTTTTAGTAGAGAGGGGTTGTAGCTTTGTCATAAGGCTGCTTGGTCTAGAGTCTACCTTTAGTTGGCTTGTTATAGGAAACTTGGGTAATTTAAATTCCCATTTTATTTTTCAGACAGACTGAATTTTGTGGGGGGACTTTGTTCTGTAGGGCAGACACTAGACCAGGTTTCTGCAGTCGGGTTTGTATATCATGGGCCTTATATCAAAATGTGGATGATTATGGCTTTCATCAAGTACCAGAAGGGATCTTTCCAGGCCACTGGGTGGGTTTCTATGTAGGCAGAACTGACCATAAACTGTGGCTCAGGGAGCTGGAACTGAGTCATTGAACTGCTTCAGAGACCACAGTGAAGGCCAAGGTCTGCAGGCCTGCCGACGTGGCTATAAATGGGTATCTTCCCACCGGCCTCTGAAAAAGCAGGATCTTTCCCAGACTTTGGCTGGGAAGAGTTGGGGATGGTTACATACTAAGTTCAAATTTCTCAGTGGGACCAAGTCGGGTGGGCCATGTCCTAGTCTGTAGTTAGGAACAGGATCCTGTCGTTTGTACCTGAATGAGGTCGCGCCTTCTGAAAAGACTTTTCAATCTTGGGCTGTATGAGAGTTCCACAAGTCTCTCTCTGGATCTGAAAGCTATCAAAGGCACTTATTTTGAGATGGAGTCTTACTACATAATTCAGGCTGGTTTTGAAATCCTAACCTGAAGCAATTCTCTAAACTTAATGTACCATGTATCTTTCATTACAGGTGTGAGCCATGATACCTGGCTATCTCATAAAGGCATTTTTGTAAGGGATGGCTGACAAATTGTCTTGCTGTGCAGGAGATAACAAAATAGGACACCTTTTATTCTCCCATTTACTGATTTCATTCTCCCTATGTATTTTTATTCTCCATTTTCTATTTCAAATTTGTCTGGAATTTTAGTTTAAGAACTTTAGAACAATATGCTAGAATTTACATGTAATACCTGAAGTAAATTAGATAATTAGTAGGTACTCCATATTTACTAAAACAGTTACTTAAAAATTTTAGCTCGGCCGGGCGCGGTGGCTCAAGCCTGTAATCCCAGCACTTTGGGAGGCCGAGGCGGGTGGATCA